TTTATTAGGAAATGTGCCGAGTGTCTTAAATTTGCAGCTATCGACTTCAGATTTGGCAAAGAAGTAGTAACTGTTGAAAGTGGGCGTCATTAAACGTCGCCAAGTGTTTTAAAAAAAAAATGAAATTTTTTTTGAGCTATTTTTGCTTTAAAAAAAAATGTTTTGTCGAAAGCATTTACCTGATCAGCAAAATTCTTGAACCAAGAGATGCAAGAGACTATAACTTTTATTTTAAGCGTAAAATACTTTGAAAATTATTCTTTTCAAGAGAAAATTATTAGCCGTAAATCAAAATTAGTGAAAAATATGTGTATTTGGTTTAGTCAGTCTTGTAGGTCGCATCAAGAGCTAGGTAGGTGGACAACGGCTATGGATAACATGAACGATATTAAAATTAATGAAGTGACAATTGTGGAAGAAAGCAAGAATCTTCCGTAAAAAAATCATATAAATAGTTATAGTATTACACTTTCTCGAGATATATCTAATGCCTTTAATTATTTTTGTATTAGTATCGGTGAAAAATTAACACAAATTTATTCGAATTTATAATGTGCCAAATTAATTGCCAATATAAATTCTACTACAACCCACTGCTTCTGATAAAATCCGCACTCAGAATGCTATTTAAGAAAGATTGTTATAAAACAGGTGACCGACAAGGGACTTGCATATAAGATAGAAACAAGAAACACATCTGACCTTAGAAGTAGTGTACCTTTCTCAAAACTGTGGCGAGCAATGTAAAGCCACAAAATAAATCCAATTTAAGATCTATATGCAATCAACAAAAACTGTGTTTACGAAGGAAATTCAGCATAGACTAAACAAGGGCGCCAACACTTTTCAAAATTCACTTAAATGAAGGTCCCAGACCCGATAAGACTCAGCATACATAATTACAAACTATATACTAACTAAAACTATATAGTCTCAAGTTTGTTGACGACTCGGTAATATACGACGATACCTTCTATATGTATAGACTTTGAAAAAATTGAATACATGGTGGTAGGAAGTAGAGCCTGTCAAACTTCAGTATCAAACAATAGTTTGAAATTAGGGTGGGACCAACTTTCAACAAAGGATAACCAAGGGAATGAAATAAGAATCAAGAAGCAAGACCGACTGAAAGTTTTGGAAATGAATTTTCGTTGACGCGGCTGTTTCATGTCAAAAACATACAACTAACATAGAAACTAACATATCAGAGAGCAAATGGAGTAAACATAAATATAACTGACACTATGAAAGGTCGACGTCTAAATTAGTATGATATATCGCGTATACTGTAAATTAAATCAAGAAATCAAATAGATTATATCTTGACTAATACTCGTTGGAGATCATTGCTCCAAACGGTTAGATCATTTCCTGGGGCGATATGTGGATCAGACCATAATCTCCTCGTAGCTAAGACGGAACCGAAACTCAAAGCATTCCACAGACGGGCAGAGGCAAAGAAACTAGGAACGAGAACCAAGGAGGAACTCCTGTATCGGACGAGACATTCCAAATCATCGAGGATAAATTAAGTTTTTGTCACAATTGTGTGCTTACAGAGAATGCAAACGCTATTCTGGAAGTAAATTGACAGTCATGATCCGAACAACCAACCAAGTTACAATAGCACAATAGACTTGAAGGCTAGAACTTGGGCTGTTGAAGATGACACAGGAGCTCTGAAAACAGGTGTGGAGGTTATATTTCCTTCATTTCCTGTTCTATATATATATATATATATATATATATATATATAGACGACCAGCACGTGGAACATTACCCAATAAGATCTTAAGAAACAGTGGAAGAAGAGCCTGCTGCTCCATTATAACTGAGCTATACAACCATATCATAGAATGGTCGGCATCTTTTCTAATGAATTCCACCCAGAATAAGGAGTCAGACAAGGATGCATAGTATCTCCACAATTCTATAATATATACAAAGAACATATTATGAGGAAAGCGCTTGGGGGATGGGTAAAGGGCATCGAAAATAAACAATCTGGGCTTTGCGAATGACACGGCACCCAAGAAGACCTGATTAACCTCGTAAGAACGAAAGTCTATTGTTTGGATTGGAGTTAAAATAATAATAGTGTATAGACAACACAACAATCACAGGGACACTACAAGAGGAGACCAAGCGTGGATGTGATCTGACAAAGGTTGCTATGGAAAAATTTTCAACAACCTTAAAATAACTCCGTTTTAAAATAGTACTGTCATTATCGTTAGCACTAGGCTGGTATAAAAATTATAACAACTTATGACAAAAATTAGGTTCACTTTCCATCAGTCTTTATCACAGAGTAATCCTTTAATATATTCTATACCTGTTTTTATATATTTGGCAGCTCTTTATATTGTTTTAAACCTTCATAAAATAAACTAACTTGACTGTATTTGTTTGGCATATTTTAATAAAAATTATTCCTAACCATCGTGTCATAATTGTAGATTTTCATAACCAATTTACAATCATTAAGAAGATGTTTGGCTAATAAATTATTTTACATTTTGTATATAAATACCATTGTGTTATGTGTTACTCTTTGTCTTACACTTAACATATTTGTACTTTTTAACATATAAGATATACTTGTACATGTATTACGTTCTAAGAGTATTCGTAGAACTTTATTTTGCTTTTTTTGCAAAACATCGATTTAGGAGTTATGCCTTAAATACATTAGCGTTGAACAAAAATTGAGATATGGTGCTAAGATGGTTTTTATATGCTGCCAGTATTGCCCACGCTCTTAATCCTTTTTTAAATCCGAGTACTTTTGTTTTTTAACTGTCTTATTCGTAATATATTTATAATGTTCAGAACATGTCAAATTATCATCAATTATACAGCTCGGGTATTTGATTTGTACTACATCAATCGTTGTATAGCCCTGTTACCCAACACTTGACGTTTTTAGTTCGAGAAGTAGCATACATGGCCTCAAAAGCAGGTCTAAAGTCAAAAAACACGACAGATAAACAGTACATTTTGAACATACCCCAAGTAATTGCACGTATCGTTGAATTTCAAAGTCACGACAAAGTTAGATAGATATAAAAAATACGTAAGCAACATCGATTTCTAATGATATTATCCCAAGTATCTCGCTCACCCTGTATGAGAGACGAAACCTGAAACTCTCTCGATCCAGATCACGACAGTGTTTAAAGCAAATTTATCCCGTGTTTTATAGTTTTTCGTTTACGAGTAATAATTTATCCACGAAAACGCAATTTTCAGGGTCCTTTAGACTTTTTTTACACATAATCGACACACCCTGGAAATATAGGTTATAGACCTGAATCTTTCACGTTTCCTGGTCCAAGAATTTCTCCAAAATAGTAAATCGTTTTCGAGAAGAAAAGATTTTTTTCAAACCATGCAATATGCCGTAATAATGAATGACGTCATCGCGTCTTGACTGAACTCGAGGTATAGTGATTTTCATATTGTTTCTTCAAATATGTAGAGCAGCGTGGGTTAGAAACGAAAACCGTAAACGCAAAAATTGTAGCTCACGATGCGGCCTATGACACTGTTGAATCAATTGGCTATATTTTACACGATTTTTGATTCGTGGTTAGAAATTTACTCTGGAAAAGAACAATTTCATTGATCTATTAGATTTTTGTCTATAATTGGAAAACCCTGTACAAAATCGAAAAAAGTCCTGAAATAATTGTTATAGCGCTGGATCTTCCGCGTCTACGGGTTAAAGAATCTTGACGATCCGGTGAATCGTTATGGAGAAAAGCATGTTTTTCTGAAAGCCAAAATAACCAAAAAAAAATCATTTTTTTTTAAATACCTGCTAAAATTTGATTCCACCCAATTTCCACTCTTTTAATGTGGGCATGGACTTTTACTTTTCTGCTAAATTTTAATTGCAAATTTAGGACACTTAACACGTTTCTTATATAGCGCGAAATATCGGGAACATCCTTTACAATAGGTGAAAACCTATATCGCTATATCGTTATGTAAGAGAAACTAACACCAAAAACCCAATCTTTTAGGTATATAGTTAGGGGTACTCATATTTCGTTGTGTTTTTTACTATGCGGCCCACCCTGTACATTCTTGAAAAATTATCAAGAATAAAAGTTTTCGGAACCAAATGTTGTGCGCCTTCTTTTTTAGGAATTTTTTGGTTGCATAAACGGTTTTCGAGAAATGATTTTTTTGTTAGACCCTTGCAAAAGCGATTTTTTACTTTTTTATATACTTTCCGACCCCCTGATCCCCCCAATTTCAATAGGTTCCGTTAGGGGACCAAGCGCTATTCGGCTGCCAAATTTGAAGTCGATAGCTTCAATTTATTGTGTTTCATAGCAAATTCCAAAAAACAGTCGAAAATCGAAAAAAAAAAAAAAAAGATGGACGCCTAAGCTTCATCGCAACTATTTTTACATATCCTGTGTAACAGTAATAGTAAAAATGGAGCAAAATTTGAAGCGTGTACCTCAAACCGTTCGGAAGTTATCGTCGAAAAACCGTGGAACAGAGAACGGACAAACGGAGAACAGAGAGATTTTTTTTTTGACGCTCATGATTTCTGCATCCATGGAGGACCTACCGTTACCGAGATCTCGATTTTAGTGAGAAGCGCGTATACTTTCGAAAAAAATCGATTTAATCGAAAGTAACGGGAGACTCTGCAATGAAGTTCACATGCAGCAACTAAAATAAAAAAAGAATTATTATATTCGGTATGTTCTTCCTTAAGGGCAGAAGAGAGGAATATGCAGAATTGTTCTCCCAAGTTAACTATGTCAGTCCTCATGCATAAACAATAAGACAATGGCGTGAAATATTCTCTTCTCATAAGCCGCTCAGCGTGAATCACCCTGTATGTTAACTTCATTATACTCCAAAAAGCTTCCTAACTCTTGTGGGATAACGTCCGGTCTGTAGTGATGGACGTTACTAATATTTACCCCGACCGCATGATAGGTTTTGCTTCTAATTTTCATTTTTGGTTTCAGTTCCACCTATGATTTGGGTCCCCAATCAATTAGTGGGAGCTCCAGCGGGAACGGACGTCGCGCTGGAGTGCCACACAGAAGCTCACCCGAAGGCAATCAGTTACTGGGTCAGAGATAACGTAATGCTGCTGCCGACTAAGAAATACGGAGCCGAGACTACGGAAAATAGCTACATGTAAAGTAATGTTCCTAAAACACTAAACAAAACTACACGCTCCCGATTCAAACTCTAATCGTGCAAACTCATACGATCAATAAGTAAAGGTTTCCAGACACATACAAACTCCAATTTGTTTTCACAAACAGAACTACAAGTTTTTGGTTAAGCGAATACAAGCGAAATAATTATTTAAAACGCACGTGTTATACTTCTAGTGGCCTATCGAAAACTACCCTCAATACATCACAACTTCAACTGGGATGCCATCCCTCATTTTTTTTCAAATGGGACTGAATGTCACGAGGCACCAAAATTCCATAAAACTCGTTCATATAGTATATAAAATATAGGTTTTAGTTTACTTTTGCAAAACTTGGCAAATTTATTGAGAATGAGTCATAGTTTCTGAAACACAAGTGAAAATTCCTTACATAAGTCAGAATTTCTGAGAAACAAGTCAGAATTCTTGAGAAACATGTCAAATTTTTTGAAAAATAAGTCAGAATTTCAGAAATATAGGGTTTAGTTTGCTCTTGCAAAAACATGTCAAAATTCCTGATATGTCAGATTTTCTGACAAACATGCCAGAATTTTTGAAAAATAAGTCAGAATTTGTGAAATAAGTCTCTCGTAATGGACACTGCGAATCGAAACACCTGATATACAGGGTAATTCATAAATAATAGGCAATTTCTGAACTGGAGGTTCCAGACACCAAAATATTTTAATTGAGCTCAACATACAAATATTGCTAGTTTCCGAAAAGGAAAATGGTTTATTTTTTCATTGATTGAGAAAATTATTATAGTATAATAATAAAAATTGGCAGTTTTACGTTTTTTTGACATGCCAATTGCCAATTTTAAACTTATTTGGGCGTTTCACCATATTATTTAGATAAATAAAATCATATTTTTTTATCTGTCGAGTTCTGATTGAAAGAAGATGAAACTCTGACTTTTTTTTTTTATTTTTCATACATATGGCGTCTAGCTCTGTTGATTTTTTTGACTTATTTGCAATTCAAATTCAAATCAAACATTGGGATTTTATAATATTTCTGGGGCTAGTACCTATAATTTATAGAATGTGCATTCTTTATGAATTACCCTGTATATCTGATGTTTCGATTCGCAATATCCCCTACGAGAGATTTATTTCAGAAATTCTAACTTATTTAACATAAATTCTTACTTATATCAGAAATTGCTACTCAATACATCACAACTTCAACTGGGATGTCTGTCATTCCTCAAATTTTTTCAAGTGGGATTGAATGTCACGTTGCACCAACATTCCATAAAACTTGTTCATATAGTTTACAAAACATAGGTTTTAGTTTACTTTTTCAAAACTTGGCAAATTTATGGAGAATGAGTCATAATTTCTGAAACACAAGTGAAAATTCCTGACATAAGTCAAAATTTCTGAGAAACAAGTCAGAATTTTTGAGAAACATGTCAGATATTTTGAAAAAAAAGTCAATTTCAAAAATAGAGGTTTTGGTTTGCTTTGCAAAACTTGACAAATTTATGGAGAATGAGTAATAATTTCTGAAAAACATGTCAAAATTCCTGACATAAGTCAGATTTTCTGAGAAACATGTCAGAATTTTTGAAAAATAAGTCAGAATTTCTTAAAAACAAGTAAGAATTTTAAACTTATTTGGACGCTGCTTCTAGAGGGCGCTAGTTTCACCATATTATCTAGATAAATCGAATCATATTTTTATATCTGTCGATTTCTGATTGAAAGAAGATGAAACCCTGACTTTTTTTTAATTTTTCATACATGGGGCGTCTAGCTCTGTTAATTTTTTTGGTTAGTTGCATTTTATATAAAAGATGAAAAATCTGTATTTAACAGTAACAATTTCGTTAATAGCAATGAAAGGAAATTCAAATCAAACGTTGGGATTTTATCATATTTCTGGGTTCTAGTATCTATAATATATACAATGTGCATTCTTTATGAATTACGCTGTTTATCTGATGTTTCGATTCGCGATATCCCCTACGAGAGGTTTATGTCTATATGACTTATTTAACATAAATTCTGACTTATTTATCAGAAATTCTGACTTACGTCAGAAATTGCGACTTATTCCTCAAAAATTTGCCTAATTTAATTAAATCCTATTTGATTTTTGGTGGTCTTTCAGCGCTTCGGTACTAAACGCATATGTTGCCGAATATTTAATTTTCTAAAGATATTTCACAAGTATTTGTTATATCAATTTTACTGTGTGGAGACTTTTTGGGTGTAATGTCGTACCTACCAACTAATAATAGGTTTGTGCGTCAATAAATCTTCGGTGCGAGATACTGCATATTTATTTGGTAGCAGTAGAGTATGTAGCCTTCTCCAAAGGATATACCGTTTTACGAGATAATTCGGAATTTAACTTTGGTAAATTTTATGAAGGTCTAACCGCTGGCCTACCTCGTTTGGGTTTCTCTTTGTAACCCTCAATAATTCGACGGCTAGGAAAACACTGTTTTATAAAATTGACATTGCTTTCCTAGGAAAATATTTTACAGTCATTATGTTAAACCCTTAAATTGGAAATTAGTTTATCCTTACTAACGTGTTTATAATATAATATCAAACGGACAAATTCAACTTGAAATCGAACTACCTCAAGTAGAGACTGTTTCAGGAAGATTTATATAAAGCATACTAATATGGATTAATATAACAGTTTAATCAATGAAGATTTGCCTACTCTTAAAATACAACAGTCAACATGTTAAATACAGCCCTGGCTTGTGGTACACGTGCTGAAAACAATGGTTCCTTTCGGCCATTCTTAAACTCATTCCGAAGTCAAAACCATAAAAGGTTGTTAAAACGGTATATCGTTCGGAGAACTCTACTAACAAACACTTTTTGATAGACCGTAACTCATAATACGGTTTCATGCTTTCTTGGTGCCCGTTGTTGCATCCAGTTATCGTTCAATTTGATGCTTCGTACTTCATTTCTATTTTAATATACCAATAAATCTGTTTGCCACCAAAAATTCCCACACCTCACAAAACGCTACATTGGCGTTTAATTTTCGAAACGTAGCCATCAATATTAATAACAAAGATGCTGTCGAAACCTACTTTATTTTCGAACGCATTATCGTGTCCCAATTTTGTCATTATTATTTGGCTCTAAATATTCATTGGCTTAAATCGGTTGGAAGCAGCGTGTTGTTAATTATATGTTGATATATATCGATGATCGATGCGCTGCAATATTAAAAATGACAAATTGCAACTACTACTCGCTCGAAAGATTCGCCTAGGGCTGCTTATGCTTATAATCAACCGATTCTTAGATGGTGGCTCATTTTGCTTAAGCAGGAAGCAGAATAACTATAAAAATCGATAAAAATAATCTAGGAAACAATAAATTTGTGGCAGGTATGTTTTTTAGACATATTTGACAACACTGGATTCAATAATTATAGTAATACGTTTGTTTTCGAGTCAAGGAAGTACTACAGCTCCATAAAAAGATGAAGGAGATAAATGTCGAATACAGGAATGTCATCGATCATTCGCTTAAGGGGTGATCAGAATAAAGTCACTCTAGGTCCTGACAAGGTACTGGAAACGTGGAAAAGATATCCAGTGAGCCTATTTGATGATGACAGACCACAGACCCCACCGTCCCTATACTGCAATCCATCATCAGATATCAAATGGCAATAAGCCTAATGTTGTCAGGAACTCTCCACCAATTAAACGAACAAAATATTAAAATTGAAAAAAATTAAAAAACGTAAAGACGATCGTCTCATAAGTTTAATGATTCCTTTTCTTCGAGTGCTGCACACTATGCTGTTCAGAAAATGTGAAAAGGTTAGTGAATCCAGCCAGTTGGAATTTGCAAGGCGATTTCGAACAAAATAAGCTATCTTCACTCTTTGCACTTTGTTCCAGAACTGCCTTGGCCAACGAAACGACGTTGTTATATGTTTCGTTGACTAATAACTTACCATGAGAAATTAGGCTTGGACGATAAAGATATAATAAATAACGAAAAATGCCGTTAGTGAGACAAGTCAATAATTCGGCCTTAAAGTTAACATCGCTAAAACATTATCTCCAGAGCTAATCTCCCAGGTATTTTCAATATATTGAACCATTTGGGTTGCGTTGTGAATGAAAAAGTTCTTGATAAACGAGAATCTCAATGTTGCAATAAAGGGTTAAGTGCTATGTTTAAATAAATGAACTAAAATTAAAGCATTTGAAATGTGTGACGAATGCTTAAAATATGGATATGGAGGATGCCTAAAATAAAACGCTTAAAAATAAGGAAGGTGTCAAATGGCAAAGTCATCATTCGAATCATTCTTTGCGTTGTCGTTAAGATGAAGAGGATTGTGATAATGATGCTCTCTAGGCAAAACTACTTGCTACGAAACCTTTTAAACAAATTTTTAATGTGTAAATACTTTAAGACTGTCCTATCAGTTTGTTTAAAATGCATCAATTGTTAATGTCACTTGGAGTAGAATTCGACGTAAACAAAAACTTACGAGTTGCACTATAAATCTACAACACCGCACATTTTAACCAAAATCACTAACTCAAACGAGAATTTACTATTTCCAACCTTAAAAAGTTCAACTCAACAAGCCACAGTTTACATTTACAAATCTTCTGCATTCTTTCTAGTCGGCTGTTTATAAATCAAGCTTGCTTCGCCAATCATCCTGTTGGTTTCTTCAGAGATTAACTTAAACTGGCTCGCTGTTACTCTGTCCCTCCTTATATATTGTTTGAGGGGGTGGAGCTAATAACAAATATTGTTGAGTCACGGTTAAAATTGTTTGGTTGCTTGTAGATTTCTCTAGATTTTAGGATTTTTCGTCGATATATGCAAGAATTTCGTGTTATCTAGCTAATACATTGGTCCGATCTTTCCAATATATTCTTTGCCGTATATGCAAGGAATGCTGTAAACTCCTGGAATGTCAAACGGAATTTGACTATATAAGGGGTGTTTTTTTTTAT